TACAGGAAGGTTTTTAATTTCTATGTCAAAAAGGGAGGTAAAAATAACAAAATTTAAAGAAAGTAGCCCCAGGAAGTAAAGGTACCATGAAACGGCACAGAAAAATGAACAGAGATGGCTCAGTAGGTAGGAGTGCTTGCTGCACAAACACGGCCCCTAAAGGAATAAGGTTCTTAGACTCGCTGACCCTAGACATGGGAGGCAGACAGAGGGAAGGACATGGAAGCAAGAACCTTGCTGTGGTTTCCATGGGAAGACCCAGGTAGGGGAAGGAGGATAGGGATAAGTCTTGGTCCCCTGGCACCTGCTCTGGGGATCTAGAGCAGGCAGCAGTAGTCCTGGGCGTGGACGTCTTGTAGAGTATGGGTAGGAGTGAAACTCTGGTTGCTCTGGAGCATTGCTTTTCTCATTGCTGTGATTAAATGTGTGATGAACAAACTGGGAAAGGAAGGGTCTATTTTAGCCCATCATGGAGAAGAAGGCATGGTGACAGGAGCTTGAGGGGGCAGCCAACCTCATTGTATCTGCTGTCAGAAAGCAAGGAGTGATGGATGCTGGTGCTCAGCTGAACTTTTGCTTTTTTTGCAGTCTAGAACCCCAGCCCATGGAATGATGCTGCAGACATTTAGGGTGCATCTTCCTACCTCAACCCAATCTAGATGATCCTTCATAGGCATACCCAGAGGCTCTTTGGTGATTCTATATAATGTCAAGGTGACAATATTAACCATGACAGCTAGTCATTTATTTTAAGGAATGACCAGGCCTGGAAGTAGCCATCTCTCCAGGGTTCCCTGTATCAAAGCTTAGGAAGTGGAGGAGAACTTGGTGCAGGCTGGCACTGTACCAGCTGTTCAGAATTACTGCAGCAGAGACTGGTGCACATGAATGAGTGACTGCACTGTGTCTGACACATGGTCCTGAGAGAACTGGAAATCCACCCAGAAGAAAAATTCTGTGTCCTCCTCGCCATGCACCAAAAGCAACTTGAGTTGGGTTGTAAACTTTGGAAAAAGCTTCTTAGCCTTTAGTCTATGGTCTATTTCCTTTCTTTGGTGCCCAAGAGAGATAAGAGTTCCTGACCACCAAGGCACACACGCAGGTCCCATTTCAGCACCGCTGCTTCCTAAGCCAGATAAGTCTGCAGAAACGGGCTTGCTGTGATTAGGTCACACAAAGGAATACTATGCCACAACAAACAAGAACCAACTGTGTGCTTCCCCAGGCTGATGTTGATTGAATCCAGTCAATCGTGGTCGGATAACTGGATAGACACAAAGTAGGAGCAGAGCAGCCATTCACTGCCTCTGGGGCTGACTCGCTTGGCTTACGGGGATGCTCTGAGTAGGCTGCAGATGATCCTTAAGATATGAACGCTTCCCATAAGATTAAAATTGTCTGGGTGCGGACAAGATGACTGAGCAAATAAAGACACTCATCACCAAGCTTGATCCCTTGAGCCCACACAGAAGAAGGCAAGAACCAACTCCTGCATCTGGCTGTCATCCAACTGTCCCAGGCATGCCCCCCAATAAATAATTAAATGTAGTAACAAATGTTTAAAAATTCTGAAAACAATTTGAATATGTCTTTTTTTTTAAAACTTTGTTATTTTAATACAAAAAGTGACATCCTAGTACATTTATAAACAGAAAAACGAAGCATAACCGTTTGGTTCCATTAATGAGGTACATCACAAAGTAGTTTGGAAATTGTCACTCGATGAGGAACCACACACAGGACGGTTCGTGGCTGATGATTTTGGAAGTGCCCACTGACATCATCTTCAGTATCTGCGTACAGCAAACCTGCTTATCCTGTCTCTGTCCCGGTCACTGGTGGTTCTCTGCATTCCCGGCAGTAATGAAGAGGTTCTTGAGTGACCACTTATGGCTTCTACAGCCAGAGGGGTACTGTTGCTGTCTGAAGGTACCATCTTGTGGCTTAGCAGGAGTAAATGAGACAAAACTACATGTTACACAAAGAAAAGCAGTTGTTCATCAGTTATAGGCAGTTTCAAAAGCTGTTTCCTGTGTATATAAGTGTTACAGTCTCTAGGAGTAAGGCTGACACTGCCAAGTTCCTCCTGTTGTTGATGTCATCTCGTGTCCTGACTTTGTAGTTGACTTGACCTTCTCTCTCTCTCTCTCTCTCTCTCTCTCTCTCTCTCTCTCTCTCTC